TAGACAGTGAGTAATTGAGAGTATTATTGAGCACGTTCATTGTTATAGCATTTGTTTTAGCGCGAATATTGAAATTAAGTGTATCGTAAAGTTATATTCGGAAAGAATAAACCAGTTTTATTAAGTAAGGACTTGTGTCGCTAAAGTTTTGTCGGAACGAAGTTACGGAAAATTAATTAACAAACGGAGACGTAACAGAGTATTATGTACAATTTTGGTGTCTTTATCTAAGAAAGGATATTGGCTTATTGAAGGAGGAGGGATACTATGTTGATTCTAGGAGTTCAAAGGGTTAGCTTACAAGGAGAAAACAAGGGTAAGGGGTACTCTTGTTGAAGTTTATAAGATTATCTATGGAATCAATAAAAAAATAACTGATTTCTTTGTACTATACTCTGCTGATAGTAGGGTGAGAAAACATAAGTTTAAGATTTGGAAAAGACAGGCTAGGTTTAAACTAAGACAGTTTTATTTTTATAAATTTACTTATACAACGAGTTGCCATTGGTAGTGGAGGCGAACATCTAAGGGATTGTAAGAGGGAATCAATGAAATCCTGAAAAAATACATGGTCGGTTTCAAGAATGGATGTGCAATGACAGCATTGAAGGACCAAGTAGTCCTTTGTTGTCCATATGTTATGTAACTAAGCAAAGTGAAGCATGATATATACACTCCTGAGTAAAACATTTTATGCCCTAGGAAAGTGAAAGAAAATATCAACTCTACGGCTATAGAGAGGTGGTGATGATAAAAAAATATGACAAGTTCTTGTGAATGGCATTCTGCAGAATAACATATAAATGTTTTTTAATGTACTACACACAAACACACCTAAACCTTAACAACTACATTATTTGTTCAACACAAATATTTAACTCTCTGCTCAGTTTTCAAGTATTTGTTAAACACTTGGATTACTAGGATCTTTCACAAAAGCCAATTGTTTGAAGTAAAAGAAAGTGTACAGTTACTTGTGACACAGTACGTACATCAGATTACTCGATAAGTTTATTAGAATGAGAAAGTTTAACTAAGAAACTCATCTGGTAGTACACTACATGTAACTTTCTGTGTTTTTCAAAAAGTCAGTGATACCCCTGAACTTCAACTTCTAATAACTTCTGCAGAATTTCCTTCAAATTTTTTTGTCTTACCGCTATAAATTCTTTTTAAAAATCTGAGTCCAAACAAAAGCCAAGTATGTCAATTTTATTTATTAAATAAGCATAATTATTTATACAAAGAACTACACAGACATAATGATGATAGAGATAGCACTCGTGTTCATTTTTCACTTTCTGAGGCTGGATGGTACGACACGTTCGTTAAACATTTCCATATAAGAAACAAGTAATGTTACAATATCAAGCAAACATGCATGTAAAAATAGGTATAATTAATCAACACAAACAAGATGATATTTCTTATAAAAACTGGTATGGCTTAGGCTTTGTTTGATCTTAATTAAAATTGTAATTTATTCAACTAAGCACTACCAGTGAAGATCTATAAAAATAAATAAGAAGCATGTTTTATATTAAATACATCATTATTAATATTACTCTTGAATGTATTTTATTTTATGACAAAATAAATCATATTTTAGCCAGTATAAAAAAGACCTAAAACACTGAAAACAAATTAAATGTTTGTTTTATTGATTCAAAAATGTTTACCCAAGACTGGTTCATTGTGTGATTTTATTATTTGTAGAAAACTCAGTAACAGACTGACAACAATTAAGGATCTCGATGTTGAACATATTCTTTTCAATTACATTACATTTCAAAACTAAAATTCTATTTTATAACAGCTGATTAGATATGCCTAATTTTCATGCTGCTCATATCTGATTAAAATTAAGTTATCTTTTATTGAACATCAAAAAGTTTTAATAACATGTATTAATGTTTACCTAGTTACGTTACATGTAGATTAATCACATAAACTTAACAAGACTTCCATGATTTTTTCAAGATAATTCTTAAAGATACCGTCTTAGTTATTCGAATAATGTATATAAATTCTTTGGTCTGTCATTACGATATCACCAGTATGCAAATGTAGGATTCACTTTTGATAATAATCAATTTTATGCTACCGTTCAATCACTATATTATAAAAAACTACCTCATGGACTATTGAGGAATAGGAGTGCTGGCTATACGATCTTCTAGATTTTAATTGTTTTTTTCTTTAAGATCAAAACTTCACATTCAGGATATACATTATTTTTTACACAGACGGTTCCAATGTTTGCACATTTTATCAGATGTACTCCACATAAAACACAATTTGATATTTCTCCATCCTCTAAATTTGTCTTCAGGAAGTTTATTAACCATTATCGAGTTTGTACAAATCAAAATACAAAAATGACTGAAATTACAAGTCAATGTAAACAACCCTAACATGTTAAAGTCTCTAACTTAGCTGAGAAGGGTAGTAATATTTAGTAGTTGAAGAGTTAAAAACATGAGTATAATATACATACTTTACACTCATACAAATGTTCATTGGGACTCTTTAACTCACAAACCACATACGTTGTATCAAATGATAGACGTCTCTGCAATGATTAGTTTAAAACTTTCCAAGCAAAGACAAGGAATATCAAGAAAGTTTGTTTTAGAATTGTCAGTCCAAAACTTTCATGGTGATTTTCAACACAATATTGTTTCACCCACTGTACATTATAATTGTCATTGATGCTACTTTGAAAACATCACATCATGTGAAGAAGAAGAAGAACAGTACGGCCACTGAAATCACAGATGATACAGAACAACAAGCTTAATAAAACATCATCATGAAACAAGTTTCTTCATGGGAACTACCAATGAAACAAAACAACTTCAAGAATTTGGAAGCTAAACCTTTTAACTAAATCTTAAAGACCACAACAGTAACTATTTCTTATTAAAATAACTTTCACTGCTTTTCAAAAATATAGTTTATCAATAGTTGTCTATTAAATCCCAGGTGTCTCAGCAGTAAATAAATGGGCTTAAAACTCTTAAACTTGGCATTTGATCTCTGCAGTGGGTATGTACAGATATCCCATTATGCCGAATTCAACGTTACATCTTGCCAGATACTTCTATAATAAAGTTTAATAAAATCATTAAGCCTAATTTTGAGAGTAATTAAAAACAATCACAAATTAAAATGATTCTAGATAAAAAGTAATGTTTGTTTTCAAAAACAGGTGTTACCTTTAATTATACTTGTCATGAGACATTAGTATTAGGCCTATACTAATTTTCAACACGACATTCCCTTAATGATTTTCAAGAATCAGAAGAGTTTATAATAATAGTATTCCAGCCACACTACAAGATTAGTAAATAAATATTTCCCTTTGGTGAATCCATGTAGACTTTCTTTTATGATATAACATTTCACTTAATGATTTTTTAAAACTTCTTCTATCACTCTTTTATAAAACCTTAAAGACTAACTGACCTATAATTACCAGAAAAACTCTTTTCACCCCCCTTTATGCATTAGCAACTTTTCATGTCTCGGGGGCCTAACCACTCTATATTAATCTACTCAATATGAAACAGAGAGAGAGAGAGAAGCTCACATAACATATCTGTCTGGTCCTTTTATTTTAGTCATAGGTCATTTCAATATAATGAGGGCTACATAGGCACTATTTAAAAGAAAAATATCCTTATGTCATCATCAACACAGGCACCGACTCTTCAAGTACAAGCCACAATCAAGCAATCTCCTTCTCTTCTCTCGTTTCTTCAGCCAGACTTTTGAGCAGCTTTCCTCGGATGCTTGTTCGGCCACTTAGGTCGCTAATAACTAAAGTTGTGTACAATCTCTAAACTCCAGCAAATTTAAATGTCATAGAGCAACAGGTTACTAGCCCAAATATCAGTATGTATTATACCTCACCAGTAGATCTTAAGACCTATCACACCCTTTTAGCCATATTCTTAATGTTGCAAGTAGGGGCTGAAGAGGAACAACAGTTTCTGATCACCCCTTCAGGGATTGTTTGACCTATAACCAAAAGTACTGCCAGGTGCATTCATTCATGTCATCATCTTTGGTTGTCTACATCATGCCTCAGACCTGCAAAAAATCATTTACAAACGGCCAGGTAAACCCATAGGTCAGAGTCCCCACTCATGCCAATAAAAAACATGCTAGATGGTATTTTCTTGGTACGAATGAGTGAAATACTAAGTGAGTTACACTTTCATGCACTATTAGAAAGGCCTCCAGATGACAAATCTGTGATTTCTGACATTGTCTCTATTTTCAAGAGGAGGAGGCAGCATTGTAGACATATTTCAGTAGTCACCCTTATCAGAAGCTTAAAGGGCAGTTTTTGATGGGAACATTTTACATGTGCCAGTATTTTTATTTTCATCCTATCAAACAACCAGCCTACGTGATGGGACCAAAATTACAGAAGTCAAGGAAGAAGAGCAGTCATAAATCGTGGACAAAACTCTAAAGGTATTTGAGCACTCCCATCCCACCCCCTCCAGTATGAATCCAGTGATTCTTTCATGTGTTTTGACTAAAAATAGGGCTGGACACAAATTATGGAGCAAGGAAGATCTATGAAAGTCAGCTAGTATCACAGCGCCTATAACAGTGGTAAGTTAGTACCACAACATCTATACCAGTGTTCAGCTATCACTGTACTTATAACAGTGATCAGCTAGGATAACCACCAATAACAGTGGTCAGCTAGCATCATGGTACTTACAACAGGTGGTCAGCCAGCATCATGGTGCCTACAACAGGTGGTAAGCTAGTACTACAGCACCTATAACAGGTAGTAAGCTAGTACCACAGTACCTATGACAGGTGGTCAGCTAGTACCATGACAGGTGGTAAGCTAGTACTACAGCACCTATAACAGGTAGTAAGCTAGTACCATGGCACCTATAACAGGATGTCAGCTAGTACCACAGTATCTATAACAGATGGTCAGCTAGTATCACGGTACCCATAACAGCAATCAGCTAGTACCACAATAGCTACAACAGGTGGTCAGCTAGTATCACAGTACCTATAATGGGTGGTCAGCTTGTATCATGGTACCTATAACAGTGATCAGCTAATACCACAGTAGCTACAACAGGTGGTCAGCTAGTATCACAGTACCTATAACAGGTGGTCAGCTAGTATCACAGTACCTGTAACAAGCAGGAAAGTACTTTGAGGGGAATGATACTTACATAAAATCGCTATGTTAATACAAAGTTTTCCACTGACTGCAGCTGGTCGTGAACACAACTGGAAGGTGACCAGTAATGTAAAAACAGCACAAAAAAAGAATACTTCACGATGAATGTAACCAGTAATGTGAAAACAGCACAAAAAAAGAACATCCACAATGCACTAATCTTTTCCTGCTGTTATATCCAAACTGAGTTTTAAAAAAAAATAGGAACATCATAGAAAAGTTAGGTGGGGATAAAGATGTAGATGAATTGAAGTGTTTGAGAAAGTTATGCATTTTCAAAATGGTGTTCTTAATGATGTAGTGTATGATATTACTTTACAACTATTCAAGTTTATAGGATAGGTACATAGATGTAAAAAAGGATACATTTAACACAGGTTAATTATTTCTGTCAATGGGCGAGGGGACATAGATCAGTCAAAAGGCTTGTAGACACTTTACCCACTCTTATGTTTTTACAAATTAAATGGATTCTTACAAAAGTAAACTTACTTTTGTTTACTCCATTTAAAAACTATTTTCTTATAAAGTACAGATACTGGCTGAAATTTTCTTTTCTCACTTTGTTTACTGAAATTCTTTTCTATTGAATTGAAAAATCTCGTGTGTTGTACATGTAATTCTCTCAAGGTGCTCATTCACTACGAGGCACCTTATGAAAAAAGGAAAACAGATGATTCACTTGTACAGAATAAAGTCTACAGTTAACCTTTAAGGAAAATTTTATGTTTTCCACTAAGAACAAAATCTTATAATTAATAACTTTATTAAAAGCAGTAAACTCATTTCAAAAATTTAAATGACTTACCCAGGAGCATTTAAATAACTGTACATCAATGCACAATACATCTAAAATTTTCCAAAAATAACCAGAGGAAGGTTACCATAGTTAGCCTGGTCCTTTGATGGAGTGACAAACCTAGTAAATATAAAATTTTCATTAACCATAAACAACAACATAATTAGTGCCTTTAAGCTTAACATTTTTAAAATTTTCAGTGAAATAAATGATCATATTGACGATGGAAATTGTTTTCTTCCAAGGTTAATAACACACGTCCTTGAAATTTCTGGTATTTGGTGGAGTATGTGAATCATAGTTTACACAATGGACAACATGTACTGAAATTTTTAAACCTGTTCACACATGTACCCATGCAATCACGCTGTAGTGTGGCTAACTTGTAGTTTCTCTTGTTACTCCTTGTTATAGGTCATTTCCTTTTGGTGTTACTTAACTATTCCCATGGTAACAAGTTGCTGTAAAACTGTGTGGCTAGCTTATAACAAGGAGTAACTAGAGAAACTACAAGCACCAAAAGGAAATGATAACTTAACTATTCTCATGGTAACAAGTTGCTGTAAAACTGTGTGGCTAACTTGTAGTTTCTCTAGTTACTCCTTGTTATAGGTCATTTCCTTTTGGTGTTACTTAACTATTCCCATGGTAACAAGTCGCTGTAAAACTGTGTGGCTAACTTGTAGTTTCTCTAGTTACTCCTTGTTATAGGCCATTTCCTTTTGGTGTTACTTAACTATTTACACGGTAACAAGTCGCTGTAAAACTGTGTGGCTAACTTGTAGTTTCTCTAGTTACTCCTTGTTATAGGTCATTTCCTTTTGGTGTTACTTAACTATTCCCACGGTAACGAGTCGCTGTAAAACTGTGCAAGTAAATATACTATGTGGTTCTTTTCAAAGCTTCAAATCTGTTCAGGGCTCAATTTGAAATAGGAATTACTGAAACTTGGCTTGATTTGGAGAATATTAATAGTAGGTATAAATAAGTCTTTGATATTGATGGTTATTAGTTAGAGAAAAGTGCTGGAGGGAGTGGAGTGGTTCTTGATAAGAGAAAAAGTGCAGACTCATCAGACTGAAAATAAAACATGTTTATCAAGAGTTTGAATTTACATGATGGGATACAAGAGTAGAAAGTTTTAAATGGGAATTATGGGTCATCTTATCGGACAGATCACGTGAAAAAGAAACAGTATAATGAGATCAGTAATAATAATAACGACACTGGTACAATAGTCATGAATGACAGATTTCAATTTTAGATACATTGATACGTATAGAGTAACATTTTTAAATGATTCAGGATAGTTTCCAATATTTAGTAAGCAGAGAGTATTTTAGATTTAACCCTACGAGCATAGGTAGGAGTCAAAAGTGAGCAAGCCAGGACCTTTTATGGAGTACCATTCAACATGGTATTACGTATTTGATGTCAGACTCATTCATTTTATCCTAAATTGCTGAATAAGCAACCATGGTTGGTATAGGAGATTAGATACCAGATATATTATATAAGGATACTGGAAAAAACTGTAGATATGCATTTTGGAGGTTCTAGAGATTATGCAAATACAGCATTCAAACCATACAACAGAGAAATGTATTTTTATCCGTTACAAGAACGTTACCTTGCACACCAACTTGTCAGTCTGACATCATCATATCTTGATTGTTTTAACATATTTTTTGTGTACAGAAGATTGCCAACTTTTGTATAGATACACATAGTAAATTCAGAATTACAGTCATTCTTTCTTTAATACACGGTCAGTTCATTAGACTGACCCCATACACATTTAATTAATGTTAACCACTAATAAGTTCAAGTGGAGGAACATTTGGAGAATCGTCACCATTACATGATTAACTTTGATGTTTTCCTACAGATTGAGATAAAGAAATGAAATCTTATTGTTTCATTTTCAGATAGCCAGTTCTGAGGCTATGAGACAAAATTACTGAATTGGGATATTGAGTTGATACAGAACAAATTTAGGACATTTTAAAAACATTTCTTACAATTCAAGATAAGCATGTTCCTAAAAGGATTAAAAGAACAAGATGGAAGATAAAACTGAATAGTCTAATTATGGAAATAAGGAGAAATCAGGGAAAAAATTTAACTATCATAATTTTAAGTTTAAATCAACATATATAAAATGGAAGACTTACAAGATGTTAGAAAACTAAAGATTGGTTAAAAATAGAAATTATGAAATCAAAAAAGGCTTATGAGAAAAAAGTTTGTTTATGACATTAAAACTAGCAACAAGAATATTTTTAAACATGTTAAAGGTAAGCATAAAGTTAAAGTGAGGATTGGACCTTTACAGGATACTGATGGCAAGGTTGTTGTTGTTGTTGAGAACAATGAGATGGTCAAGTTTTAAATGTTTTTTTGTTTTCTGTTCTTATAAGAGAGGATATTAACAATATTTCAGACTATGCATTCTTTGGAAAATACCAGGGTTAACTTTAATTCCTTGGTAGTAAATAAAAAAACAACAACTAAGATTAAAACCAGATAAAGGACCAGACAACATTTTCCCAAGGGTTTTAAAAAAAGGTCAAAGATCGGATATGTGAGTCTCATTTTTTGTAGGTCAATAGACAGTAAGTGCCTGACAGTTGAAGATTTGTTTAATGTCACTGATATTTTTAAGAGAGAGAGGTTATAAGAGTTCCCTTGGAATTTACAAGCTTTGTAGTTTTACTTCTGTAATGTAAAAATTCTAAAGTCTGATAAACAAAGCTTTACAAAATCATTTAGTGAAATATAATATCATAAAAGAGAATCAACACTGATTCTCTGAGGAAAATCTTGCTTTATTAACTTTCTTTCAAGATGTTACTTTTTACCTGATGACAGAAAGGTTTTAAACTTGGTGTATTTACATTTCCAGAAAGCTTGTGATGAGGTGCTACATAGAAGATTAGCTACGAGGATGGGGGAAAGACTAGTGTTTGTGTTTCCTTGGCTGTTTGATAATTCTCTATATAACATTATCATAATCTGCAGTTTGCAGATGATATTAATCTAATATGCTGGATTTGGTTTACTTTGATTTTCAGAAAGCATCTGATAAGGTGCTTCACAAAAAGACTTGTTACAAAAATTAAATCTGTGGGTTTGGGGGGGAATGTTATTAAATTGGATAGAAAATTGGATGTAGAGTAGAAAGCAGAAAGAAATAATAAACAGAGTTAGATCTGATTGGATCACAGTTACAAGCGGTGTACCTCGGGGCTCTGTGCTGGGTCCTCTGCTGTTTCTGATTTATACTCATGTCTGAAATGACTAACAAACTATTGAACTTTTGTAAATGACATCAAGATTTTTGGGATGGCTAACTGTATCAAAGATGCTGCAGACCCACAGGAAGATTTAGATCATTCGATGTTTCGGGCCAATACGTGGCAGATGATGTTTAATTATCCAAGATGTAAGGTGATGCATGTAGGTTTTCACAATTCAAATTATTGTTACAATTTAAATGTGAATACATTCAATACTGTGGTTGAAGAAAAAGATCTTGGTGTTGTGACTGAAAAATCACTTAAGTCATCTAAAAAGTATATTGTAACTAACAATAGGGCTAATAAGATTTTGGGTAGCATCTAAAGAAATATTGAATACAAGACAAGGGATATTACTGTTTCACTGTATAGATCACTTGTAAGGCCTTATTTAGAGTACTGTGTACAGTTTTGGGATCCCTTCCTCAAGAAGGGCATTGAATTGTTGGAGAAGGTTCAGAGAAGAGCCATTAAGGTGTTAACCTGGAATCATGGATGCCCACAGGAAGGGGCAGGGGGGTCACTTGACCCCCTTGGATTTTCAAAAAGGAAAAAAATTACTAGATATGTCAAATTATTCTTCTGTGTTCTTGGAAAATCATAAGGTATTTGTATTTCGATTTCATAATTTTTTTAAACTTGAGTAACTTGACCCCACCCCTATTTTTTTTCTGTGTTTAGCACTGAAGACAATAGGGCAAGGGGTCGTAAATTCAAATTTTAGCAGTGTAGAAGTCATCTGCAGTTTAGACAGTATTACTTTTCAAACATGTTGGTTGGCTTTATGAATATCTGAGGACCTATATACCACAACTGAAAACACTTGTTAATACGAAACGGCTTCAAAGTTAGCACTGCAACACTGGTAAGTAAGGCAAAAAGTCCCATGAGTTTAAGCATACTATTACTCACTGTACAAAAAACGCTACTACACCTTTTGGGTTTTACTTACAAGAATTTGGAACAACAATGGAAAAAAAAAAGGATATACTTGTTGTTCTTATAATTAAAGTTAAATTCAAATTCACTATACATTTTCTTTTACTTATTGCACACTTTAGTTTTAACACACACTTTATCTTACCATCCGAAACGGAGAAACTAGCATGCGTAATATTCAGTAAAATCACGGCGTCATCAATTCCTTTAGGGTTTTTGGCAAAAAATAAAACTTCTCCACCATCTTCTGGAGATACTTCCGTTATTTCTAAAGCGCCCAGATAACAATGTGGTGTTTCTAACTCCTAGAATTAGAAATAAATAAACAAGATTCGATAACACGTTAGAATTAATATACTTTTATGTTTAATTTGTAAAAAATAAAGACACCTATCGTGAACATCTACCTCTCGATACGTTGATGTAATTTGTTTACTAACTGTTAGTAAAAAAAACAAAAAAAAAGAGCTGATAAAAAAGAAAAACAAGATAATTCGTGGCGCCATCTATTTAATAACATAGGAACAAATGCTATATTTTTTCCGCATTACCAAATTCTTCGATAAAATGTATCCAACTGTAAAATACTAAAATGTATAGTTTAAAAGTGGAATATAATATCTCTTCTCTTCTTATTTCCTACCAAACAGCTTTAAAATGGTGGATGTCACTTTTTTACATGGATTTAGCTTTTTCATATAACTGTGACAGTTTTAATTATGTGCTTGTATAAACATAGTGTACTTAGTCTAGATAAGAGCACCCCAATGGCACATCGAAAGGGCTTCGGACTTATAATGCTAGAAACCGGAATTCGATACCCGTGGGCACAGCACAGATAGCCCATTGTGTAGTTTGTGCTTAACAACAAACAAACAAATCCAGCTAAAAATTATTATAACTCACTTTACTTTCCCATCTACTCTGATATTAAATTTTAAAGTCAAACTCTCTTAAAAAATCGTAAAACTTACTGTAACGTTGTGCGCTATATAAGGCAACCTTATATCTCCGGGACTGAGTGCTAGATGGTGAACTATCCAGTGGGCACGGTATGGACGGGGGTTACCACAAAATCGGATGAAAAGTTTTGCCGACTTTCCTGCTATAGCATTTAATGTTCTGTTGACAGGATCAACCTTAGGCCTACCTGACAAAAACAAAAGAGTGAAAACAAGTATTTAAATTTCAGTTTATCTCAAAGCAGAAGCTTTTACAAGTCAGCAGGGGTAATATCCACAACAACAACAACAATTATCTAAGGCAGCCTTGATAAAGGATTCACAGAGGAAGGGACGGGGAAATGTTCTCATGGAAGAGTCTGTCCGACTCCCACGTTTTACAATCAGTCACTCACAGAGGAAGGGACGGGGAAATGTTCTCATGGAAGAGTCTGTCCGACTCCCACGTTTTACAATCAGTCACTCACAGAGGAAGGAACGGGGAAATGTTCTCATGGAAGAGTCTGTCCGACTCCCACGTTTTACAATCAGTCACTCACAGAATGCACACAATATACCATCCTCAAATAATCGTTCTGTAGTTGAAGATGGCCTCGTTGACACGTGTTATAAGGCATGTCATCTTCTTTATAACATTTTTGTTTTATAAAAAATCTGGTATATTTCGTATCCAACCAACACAGAACAATTTGTATACTGTACATCCAATCAATATATATAACCTCATGTTATTTACATTTTGTTTACATATAAATTGAATTTTATTGTGTTTTGATTTCTTAATACTGAGGCGTTTAATATTATTTTCTCCTTAGCGCATTTACTTGAATAGCACCACGCTTATTTTTCAGCAATTGAGATTCGGTTTAAATCAAATAACTTTTAAACACGAGTGATAATAAAAAAATCTTCAATTTCCCAACTCACTTCTGATATTTTATATAAAGCAATCACCTTTAACTTTGACACTAAGATCTTTTGTTTTTGCTGTATACACTCTTCGTCCAATAGTGTTAGATGTAATGCATTTGTACTGTCCTGCATCAGAATATAGAACCGTATTCAAGAGCAAATCCTTTTCGATGCTAACGCCCTCTATTTGATTATTTTCTCTAATCCTTGTCCAACAATATGATGGCGGCGGCTTTCCATCAGCTTTGCATTCTAACCGAAAAGGGTCACCCAGATCAGTCTCGAGAACTTCAGGGGGGTGTTGAACAATTTCGGTGCCATCTTTATGGAAAAAGTGAAAGGAAAATATATTATAATGATACTCAGTTTTTGTCAGTCCTAAAAAATGCGCGCGCACTTCATTTCAAAAGATGTAAATATACTTTAGTATACATTTTGTACAACAACATATTCAAAGCTCATCAAATGTTTTAAAATGGTCTAATGTTAGGTCGTAGAATAACATTATAAGTTTATTTTTCGATAGTATTAAGTAAGGTAAAGTTTGGCCTTAACTAAACTAAAGCAAAAAACGTACACAAGTTACGGAGCTAATTTGTATCTCTATCGAATAAAAGCCGTACTTTATAAGGCTTAAATAATGTTAGGCCTAAGACAAATGAACATACATATTCGGGTGTCTGCGATTATAATTCATTTGTATTATTCTAGAATTCCTATATGTATTAAGTAAGGTAAAGTTTGGCCTTAACTAAAGTAAAGCAAAAAACGCACACAAGTTACGGAGCTAATTTGTATCTTTTATCGAATAAAAGCCATACTTTATAAGGCTTAAATAATGTTAGGCCTAAGACAAATGAACATACATATTCGGGTGTCTGCGATTATAATTCATTTGTATTATTCTAGAATTCCTATATGTATAGAAGTACTGTTGCAATAAGGTTGTTAATTTGACTGCAAATGTTCGGTCCGAATGTTTCTGATTAAATGTTATTTAACTATATTGAACGTTTAAGAATAAAAATATGGAATAAAACTGTACAAGTTAGATAAAATGGTAATAAAAATTAACACAGGATACATGAAGGAATCATACATCCCGTTACTGACGATTTCAATTATATGATTTTGTTTGTCTGTAGTTAAGCACATAGCTACACAATGGGCTATCTGTGCTTTGCCGGTTTCTAGCGTTGTAAAAAATAAGATTCTGGACGCGTATGAATATACATACACACATAAGCTTGTTTGTTTGTTTTTTAATTATGCACAAAACTATACAGGGGCTATCTGTGCTCTGCCCACCACGGGTATCGAAACTCGGTTTCTAGCGTTGTAAAAATAAGATTCTGACGCGTATGAATAGCAGACACATACACACACAAGCTTGTTTGTTTTTTAATTATGCACAAAGCTATACAAGGGCTATTTGTGCTCTGCCCACCACGGGTATCGAAACTGGGTTTCTAGCGTTGTAAAAATAAGATTCTGGACGCGTATGAATAGTAGACACATATACACACAAGCATTGGCGCCAAATTTTCAAAACGATTGTGGTGCTGGGTCTATTTTTTAACAACATCGGCGTGCTTAGCTCTACTCGCTAAATCAATTTTGGAGGTGCTCAAGCACCTACAGCACTCATGGAGCTGATGCCTATGTTGATATAAGCATACTGAATTACCACCTTTAAATTAAATGGAATACTAATAACTACAAAAACGGTTCTGAAACTAAAGCTCCTTAAAAACATATCTATTTAAATATAATAGCTTCGTAAACCAAGAATTATGGCCTTTATACCGTTCACTACCGGTAGGGGACCACATATTAAGTAATTTCATATATTTTTGGCCTGTTGCAACACTCGGTGTAAAGAAGATTGGATAGAATCATTCATTCACTGTCACTGTAAGCTATATACGAAACTTCAGAAATAATAGTGGAACAAGATTCAATACTGATGGTATTTTTGTTGATGTTTTTTGTGGGTTGTTTTTTGTTTTTGAATTTCGCGCAAAGCTACACGAGGGCTATCTGCACTAGCCGTCCCTAATTTAGCAGTGTAAGACTAGAGGGAAGGCAGCTAGTCATCACCACCCACCGCCAACTCTTGGGCTACTCTTTTACCAACGAATAGTGGGATTGACCACACACTATAACGCCCCCACGGCTGAAAGGGCGAGCATGTTTGGTGTGACAGGGATTCGAACCCGCGACCCTCAGATTGCGAGTCGAGTGCCTTAACCACCTAGCCATGCCGGGCCAGTTTTTTGTGGGACTCACATCTTAAAAAACAACCAAACTTTATAATATAATTATTTTAATTTGGTTATACTGTCCTATTAATTAGTAGTATGTTAAATTTTACATAAGTAATCATAATTCAATGTGTTCTCCTTTTAAATAGTTTGATATTTTATTGTAGAAGTATTTTATAATGTCCATGTATTGATAAATAATAAATTTAGTATATTCAGCCTTTTTTTAAACGTTTGGGCAATAATCTGGCGTTTTATTAATTACCAAATCTACAATATTGGTTTTAAATGTGATAAGAAAAATATTTTTTTATTTAATATAATACTTACAACGGACGTTAAGAAAATAACCAAATGAAGAAAAATATCCAAACTTATTCTCCGTCGTACATTTGTACCAGCCAGAATGGTGTCTACTGATTGAAGTAAAGTTCAGAATACCGTCCATAGAGGGCAATAGCTGCGAGGGACCATCATCTTTCAGCCATTTAGGAACACCAGGGGGATTGGCGTCGACATCACACTTTAGAAACACAGGCATACCTTCTACAACAGGGAATCCAAACGGTGGGGACCGACTGATGGAAAAGGATGGGACGTCTATGAAATAAAATATATAATCAGTAAAAAAGAAAAAAAATTAGTATCATGATATCTAATAATGTTAGCTTACAAATAAGACTGAAGAGTCTAACGTAAACATAAGTTACTTACACTTTTTAAGTTAATAAGTATATAATTATATCATATCAAATAACTCTGACTTTTTAAGTTAATAAGAATATAGTTATATCATATCAAATCATTCTGACTTTTTAAGTTACTACAAATATCATTATTTCATATCAAATAACTCTGACTTTTTAAGTTAATAAGAATATAGTTATATCATATCAAATCATTCTGACTTTTTAAGTTAATACAAATATAATTATTTCATATCAAATAACTCTGACTTTTTAAGTTAATACAAATATTATTATTTCATATCAAATCATTCTGACTTTTTAAGTTAATACAAATATAATTATTTCATATCAAATAACTCCGACTTTTTAAGTTAATACAAATATAATTATTTCATATCAAATAACTCCGACTTTTTAAGTTAATACAAATATAATTATTTCATATCAAATAACTCCGACTTTTTAAGTTAATACA